CTGCATAGCAGCACAGGAGAACTCTCAGGCTGCACTGCGGAGCAGTTTGGGGATCTGTGTGTCCCTTGCCAGGGGTGAGGTCCCAGGGGTGGCACCAGGGCCCAGGGATGGCGCTGGGGCTCAGGGTGCTGGGTGCTGCTGGGGCTTTGGGGCTGCTTTCCTTGTTTGCTGTTTCTGTGTCCCCGGAGGATTCCCAGGACTCTCTGCCAAGCTCCCCTCAGGTTTCCAGGATGGCTGCAAGGCTCCTGTCCCCTGCCAGCTCAGTCCTGCCCGGTCGGGTGCTGGGTGCCATAGTCCTGGTGAGAATCTCTGTTTTTCCTGGGGGCTGGCAGGTCCCTGCCCCCTGCCCCGTGCCATGTAGGGCCCCCCACATCCGTGTGTCTCTGGCTGTGTCTGTCCCCCAGCGTGATCCCACAATGTGATGGGGGCTTTGCTGCCACCGTCAGCCCCACGGGCCCTTGGCAGGGGTGAGGGAGGAGGTCACTGGGTTGTCTCTGTGCCCCCCACTTGGGCACAGGGAGCCCAGTCTGGGCACTCGGCAGGGGCTGCTGCCTGCCTGTGACCGGGATGCTCCGGAGGTGAAGCCTCAGGGATGGGCAGAGCCTCTGCAGGAAGCGAGGGGCGGAAGGGGGAGCCCAGGAGAAAAGGGGGATGCTCGGCCTTGGAAACCAGCCCGGAGCTGGGAGTGACTGGGCAGGAGAGGGGGAGAGCAGGCTGCAGGGAAGGGAAGGCTCTGGGAGAGGAGCGCTGCAGAGACTGGAGCTGGGATATGCTGGGAAAGTGCTGGGGCAAAGCAGCTGGGAAATCCATGCTCCGGCTTGAAGGGGAAGGAGGAGGAAAACACCAAGGGGAGGAGAAGCAGGCAGGGGGATGATGGGAGGAGGTTCCAGACATGACAAGCAGGTCTGCCTCTGATCCTGCTAAGGCTTCCTTTGCAGTCAGCATTCCCACGTGCCTGTTCCGGTAGCCTGCAGCTCCATCCGGCTGCAGCCCTCTCCCCTGAGAGAACATCCCCCAGCCCTGGGCTCCAGCTACAGCAGCATCGAGCCAGCCCTTGCTGGAAACGGGCTGGGTGCTGAAAACTTGCCCTTGCTGAAAACCAGGCATGGGGCACCAGGGCCTGTGGGTGCCAGGAGGAGCCCTTTGGCCACTGTCCTGCACAGGGCAGGGTCTGGGGGTCTGTGCTGCTGCCTCCAACAGCCCCAGCCCAGGATTTGCTCCAGGGGGACAGGCACGAGCAAGGCTGGGTGTTGGGAAGGCTGGTGCCCAGCAGGATGGGGTCCTGCTCCTGCTGTAGGAAGTATTTAGAAAGAAATAACTTTAGAACTCCATCAAGTTCACTGCAGTTGTGGTGTAAACCTTTTACAAGTCAGTGACAGCAGGTATTTCAGTGAAATTTCCCCTTTTGGCAGCATTCTGGATCTGTGTCCTTTCTGAACCTGTGGCCTCCATTCTGGGGTCTCTGCTGGGGCAGCAGGAGCTGAGCTTGCACAGGGAAGGTGCTGTGGGATGGGCAGGGCTCCATGGCTGCTGATCCCTGCCTGTGCTGTGTGGCCCCCTCCTGTCAGGGACAGCTCCTGCCCACGGCACAGAGCTGCTCCCAGGGCAACATCTCCTTCTGCAGCTCTTGAGGCCATGGGAAAGGCCATGGGAAACAAGAGAGACAAAGGGCTGGGACAGGTGGCACCGTGAGTGCTGCCCAGGTCCCTGCAGAGGGTGTCCCCAGGGTGTGAGCACCCCCAGCCAGGCACAGAGGGTGCTGGTGGTCATGTGGGCCTTGGAGTCCTTCTCCCACACCCCAGGTGCAGGTGAGCACAGGTGACCAGGCTGCCACGGAGGGTGGCAGTGTCCCACTCCAGGTGCCACCGTCCCCAGGGGCTTGGTGCTGCCAGGCTGGGACTGACCCTGGGCTGCAGCAGCACTGGGGTGAGTGGCAGTGCTAGAGGAGCCCCAGCCCTCCCACTTAGCCCCAGAGTGGGCCGGGAATGGCTCCTGAATGCGGCCCTTGTGGCCCAGGAGCGTGGCAGTGCCAGCGTGGTCCCTCTGGCAGGGCTGTGCAGCTGCAGGGCTCAGCTGCAGTGGGGCCATGCCCAGGGCCACTGCCCCTGCCAGCCCTGGCTCCCTCAAACAGCTCCCAGACCCCAGCAGTGGCCCTGTGTGACCCAGAGCCTCCCCAGCAGAGCTGCAAGGCCAGAGACTGAGGGATTCCCTGCCCTGGGAGCAGGGAGATGGTCCCTGGGGATTTGCCAGGTTCCTTTAGCAGAGCTCGGCCATCCTGGCACTGCTGTGCCATGCTCTCACTGGCTTCAGCTGGAAGGCAGTCCCTGGGATCAAGCTCCTGGCCCCCCATCAGAAGGTTGGAACTGGAGTAAAAGGGAGTGAGATAATTCCCAGCTTAATACCCTTAAAAAAACCCCTCATTTCTTCAGGGATCACTGCAGGGAAAAAGCAGTTTGGAAGAAAGTTGAGAAATGTCAGGCACAAAACTCAGCATGTTTTTGGCCCAAAGTGATGCTTTGTCATTGTAGAGATTTCGTGTTGATTAAAAATTCACACACTGAGATCCAAGCAGAAGTGTTTGGGAATGATCCATGCAGGGACTTGGGCTGGGAGTGAGCAACTGCTTGAATTTGCAGTGGAAAAACTGCAGCCCTGTTTCCTCAGTGGAAAAAACAAACCATTGGTGACCTCTGAAAGCTCCTGGTGGCCTTGGCCAGGCAGTGGGGTCTGTGAGGAGGAGCTGATGCTGCTCAAGGCTGGCTGTCCAGCACGTCATGGCCAGGAGAACATGGTCCTGGGACAGGGGGTGAAATCCTGGCCCTTTGGGTGTGAACTGAGGCCTCTGTTGTGAGCACGCAGCCAGCGCAGGCACGGGAGGGGGATGTTCCCGGGATCTCCTGGCTGCGAATCTGGCGGAAGGCGTAGGCTTGACTCCCTGTCTTCTCCGTCACCTCCTCTCCGTTCCCTCCACCCCCAGAGCCAGTTTTAGTCATTTTCCTGGGAAGGTTTCACATCTTCCCACTGCTGAGGACACCTGAAGGGCAGCAGTGGGACAGGAGCTGTGGTGTGGGATGGGTTTCTTTGTAACACTGAGCTGAGCCTGAACAATGCAGTGGATCCACCAGGGATGGGGCATCCAGAGGGTCCTGGACAGGCTGGAGGAGGGGGCTCACGTGAACCTCCTGAAGTTCAGCCAGGCCAAGTGCAAGGTCCTGCAGCTGGGTCAGGGCAGCCCCAGCAGCAGCACGGGCTGGGGGCTGGGTGGGTTGGGAGCTGCCCTGGGGAGGAGAAGGACAGGGGGTACTGCTGGTGACAATTGGATGTGACCTGGCCGTGGGGACTGGCAGCCCAAAAACCAACCCTGTGCTGGGCTGATCCCACAGCGTGGGCAGAGGTGAGGGGGGATTCTGCCCCTCTGCCCACTCAGGTGTGACCTCACCTGCAGAGCTGCCTCCAGCTCTGGGGACCCAACAGAAGAGGGATTTGGAGCTGCTGGAGTGAGTCTAGAGGAGGCCACAGAGATGCTCCAAGGGCTGGAGCCCCTCAGCTCTGGGACAGGCTGGGAGAGCTGAGGGTGTTCAGCTGGGGAAGGCTCCAGGGAGACCTTAGAGTCCCTTCCAGTGCTTAAAGGGGCTCCAGGAAAGTTGGAGAGGGACTTGGGACACAGGATGGAGTGACAGGACAAGGGGCAGTGGCTTTCCACTGCCAGAGGACAGGGTTAGATGGGATACTGGGGAGAAGTTTTTCCTTGTGGGAGTGCTGAGGCCCTGGCACAGGGTGCCCAGAGCAGCTGTGGCTGCCCCTGGATCCCTGGAAGTGTCCAAGGACAGGCTGGGCAGGGTTTGGAGCAACCTGGGAGAGTTGAAGGTGTCTGTGTCTACGGCAGGGTTTGGAATTGGAACAGGATCTGCAGGCATTACTCAGGGCTGTTGGTGTGGCTGCTCTGTGGGCAGGGTGGGTGATGTGACCACAGGGTCACAGATGTTCCAACTGAGCCACCTTTTGCAGCCACAGTCCTCAGACTAAGGTGGGGATGATCCCAGCAGATGCTGCACAGCTGGACATGGCCTGGTGGGGGGGACTGGCAGGGCCTGAACAGCCTGAGTGGAGAGTGGGTGATGGTCCAAAGGCTGCTCCATGATCTGTGGAGTGTGGACCCTCCCAAGACACCTTGCTAGCCCATGCTGTGTTGGCATAAAAGGTTCCAAAACCATAAAGGTTCCAAAAAGACATGTTGAGCATCCCGGTATGGAAAGCGCCTTCCCCGCCCTGTTCCTGGCCCAGGGTTTGTTTTTCAGGAATCCACAGGGTCCCACGCTGGCCGTGGGAACCCAGCGTGCTGCTGCTGCTGGGATGGCCAGAGGGGAGCAAACCAGCCGGCCCGGATGTGAGCTGTGGAGCTGTCCATGTTTGCCATTTCCTGTGTCAGTGCAGCCTTTCCCCTGACTCACACCCTGGCTTTTCCTCCCACTCCTAGAAAACACCAAGTGAGGGTTCCAGCCAGTGCAGGCGTGTGGGAGCAGGAGGTCAGAGCAGCCCCACTGGCTGTGGTGCAGGGATGGGGTGTGAGGCTGTGCTCTTGCCCATGGTGGGTCCCTGTCCATGGTGGGTCCCTGTCACTGGTGTCCCTCCCCACTGCTGGCTCTTGTCCTCCAGCTCAGAGTATGAAATCCTGTGTCCTGTGCTGCTGCCACCAGCCCTTTGCAAAGCCACCTCTTGGCACAGACAGGGATCTGGAGTCTGCGAGTGGATCTGTGCATGGACAGAGATCTGGATCTGGGAATGGATCTGTGCATGGACAGGGATTGGGGTCTGGCAGTGGATCTGTGCATGGACAGGGATCAGGGTCTGGCAGTGGATCCGAGTGAGGCAGAGACGGGCACATCCCAAGCCTGTCCCAGCCTCCCCGAGCAGCCAGGGCATCCCAGCCGGCGGCTGCCCGGGCAGCATGCCCCAGCCCCGAGTGACACCTGCCGTCTCTCCCCGGTGGCGGTGAGCAGCGCGGTGACCGGCGGTCATGACAACGGAGACAGGCCCCGGCTCTGAGGTGAGGAACGCGCAGGAAGAGGCTCCGCAGCAGCAGCTGGGGGCGGCCGCCCAGGGCCCCACGGCCGCTCCCAGCCCCGCCGGCCGCGACACCGACCCCAATGAGAAGCTCGGGGCACAGCCCGACACCCGAAACATGGAGCCGGTGAGTGGGTGACGGCTCCGAGAGGGGACAGGCAGGAGGACACGGGAGGGGATGGAGAGGAGTGGCATCGCTCGCTGGCGGCCGCCGTGAGGGAGCCCGGGGAGGCGGGCGCGGCCCTTGGGCCCGGGGGAGCCACCCCCAGAGGGGCTCCTGAGGCGGCCCCGGGCGGGCTCTGCCCCGCTGCCCTCACGGCTCCTGGCCGGCAGGACAAGCCCGCGGGAGCCGTGCGGCAGCCGGCAGTGCCTGGGGAGTGGGAATGGCCCGGCTGGCGGGGCACGGGGAGGGACTGGGCAGCGGTGCCATGTCCCAGCTGAGCTGCCCCGGGCTGGGCTGGGAGCCCCAGCTGCACCCCGTGTTTGCTGGGGAGCTGCTGCCTGGGCAGGGAGGATGGCGGTGCTCAACTGACCGCAGGTGTCCGGTCTCCAGGGACCCGGGCTGAGCCTGCAGTGTGGGTCAGTGGAACTGGCCTTGGCTGGGGACTGCCCTGCTTTGCTGTGCAGAGCCTTCCCCCTCTGCACATGTGTTCTTCTGGCAGTGGTGCCAGGTAACCCTGTGTGTGCCCCTGCTCCAGGGCACAGACATGGAGGACAAGGACTACAGTGAGACAGATGGACTGTCTGACAAAACAACTCCAAGCAAGACCCAGAAGTCACCCCAGAAAACCACCAAGAAAGTGAAGAGTGCCCTGTGCAGGGTGACCCTGCTCGATGCGTCCGAGTATGAGTGCGAGGTGGAGGTGAGTCCCAGATTTGGGGGCCTGTGCTGTCACCAAGGAGGGGACACTCCTGGGACCCTGCCCAGTCCAGAGAATCCTCAAGGACAGGACTCTTCCTAGGACAGCTTTTTAGTACCTCTGTCCCAGGGGAAAACATCCATAGAAATAGCCATTTAAGCTGAAATTTCAAAATTAGTTAAAAATCTGGAAAGAGAGACTCTTGCAGGGAATTTCAGCCCAGTGAAACCAAATTTGGCAGCTACTCATAAGAGAAAACAATATCTAAGTCAGAAGTTTAATGGCTGGGGATAGAGCTCTGCCTGGCAGTTCAGGCACCTGGCAATGGCTGCAGGATGGGACAGAGGGGACACACACCTGGCAATGGCTGCAGGATGGGACAGAGGGGACACACACCTGGCAGTGGCTGCAGGATGGGACAGAGGGGACACACACCTGGAAGAGGCCACCTGAGCACTGGGAGATGCTGCAGGGCTGCTTCAGCCACCATCAGCACGGGCACCTCTCCCTTCTAGGACAGCTGGGGGACACCCAGAATTCACTCAGGTGTTGGGGCTGGTGTTTGTGGAAGGTTCTGATGGCCCTGCCAGGAGAACAAGGCAGCAGGACATTCCAGGACCCCCTGTTCCTATCTCCAGCACTTGCTGCTGTCTCCTGTCTCCATACTGGGAAGGCAGTGCTGCACCATGACATTTTTAAGGACTGACAATTTTGCTTGAAAATGAAAAGCTGAGGTTGCTCAGGAACCTGAACCTCAGGGATCTGAGAGCCTTTGCCAGAGAGGCTTTTGCCCTGCTCTGGCCAGTGGCACACAGGTGTTTGCTGGCAGCACAGAGCAGATCTGTGTGTGGGTGCCGCCTGCCCCAGGGCTCGACTGCCCAGGGCTGATGAACAGAGGGAGGCTGGGAGCAGAGAGCACCCCAAGGCTGGCTGGGGGGTTGTGGCCCCTGCCCATGGCATGGGAGCAGGGTCTTTGGTCCCTGTGCTCCAGAAGCCCTGGCTCTCATTTTAGCAGTAAAATTGGTCACAAAGATGGGTTGCCCCCAGGATGAAAATCTTCCTGAAGAAGGAAAGGAGTGGAGCATCCTAAGGGCTCATAAGCCCTGGCAGTCATCCTTCCCCTGACTTTTCCCAGAGCACTGTCCAACTAAACTGGGATGGCAGGAGAATCTCAGGTCATAGGTGCTGGCAGAGCAGAGCAGAGCAGTGCCCCTCACCACGTCACCCAAAGATGTGCTCAACTGCTTTTGAAAAAAGCCACCTGGAACACAGGGGAGATGGTTTAGGGTAGGAATGCTGGTGCTACATTTCCTCTGTTTCTGGCAGACCCTGTTGGAATAGTTGTGCCTTGTCCATGTGCTTTAATTAAACCTTAATTCAGTGAAAATCCAACAGGGGAGTAAAACTGTTCGGTGTGACACCCCAGCACATGCCATGGGTGAGTGCCTGCCTTCAAACCTGGGTCAGAAGGAGGGAGGAGACCCAGGAAGGGTCTGCTGGAAAAGCTCTGGAGGGCAGCAGGAGCCCAGGCTATGCTGCTTGGTGCCCTGGGCTGCCATCCTGGGGGTACCCAGTGGAAGTGCTCCAGTACATAGATGCCTTGGAGAGGGGAGATGGGAGCTGCCAGGCTGAAAATAGGGGATATGCACACTTGGGAAGGGCTGTTCTTCCATGGCCATGAGTAAGCCTGGCCCTTGGTGCCACTGGTAATGAAGGGAAATTCAGGGGAATTCAATTCCCATCCCTGGAGTTCAAGGCCAGGTTGGATAGAGCAGCCTGGTTTAGTGGAAGGTGTCCCTGCCCATGGCAGGGAGGTGGAACTGGACAATCTTTAAGGTCCCTTCCAGCCCAAACTATTCTGGGATTCATTGATACCAAGGATGCTCTCTATCACTCCACACGCTCCTGGCTCCTGGTGGCTCTTGTCATTCTGTGCTTGGGGATCCCTGCAGTGTGTGTCCCCACAGTGGTGTCCCATCCCTGCAGTGTGTGTCCCCACAGTGGTGTCCCATCCCTGCAGTGTGTGTCCCCACAGTGGTGTCCCATCCCTGCAGCCCAGGACACCCTTTGGCACCGCTTTAGGGACACACAGGTGATCCTGGGGCTGCAAGGCTGGGATGTGGTGAAGCCCACACTGGGTGAGAGCATGTTTTGGTGGTCACCTGGAGGGTGTCCAGGAGTCCAAGGGACCAGCTGACCATCAGCCTGTCCATGTCTCTAACAGAAACACGCCCGAGGCCAGGTGCTCTTTGACATGGTGTGCGAGCACCTCAACCTCCTGGAGAAAGACTACTTCGGCCTCACCTTCTGTGATTCAGACAGCCAGAAGGTGAGCACGGGGGGTCCCTCTGCAGCCACCCCCTCCAAGCTGTGGGCCCCCCTGACCTGCTGTCTCCTCGTTGCAGAACTGGCTGGACCCTTCCAAGGAGATCAAGAAGCAGATCCGCAGTAAGTGCCTGGGGAGGGTCTGTCCTCCCCAGCCCCGGGGTGTCCCATGGGGCTCCTGGATGGCTGTTTGGCTGTCCTGTGGCAGATCACCTCCCTGCCTGCCCTGGAGGGCACCTTTGGCAGCTGGCCTGGGGACAGGGACACTGTTGCTCATTCAGTTGTTTGTTACCCACCTTGTCTCTTAGTCATGAGAGGTGGGGGGACAAAGGACCCCGTCTGTGCCACTGGAGAGCTGGCTGAGACTTGATGCCACTCTGGGCACCTCCTGCCCTGTGCAGTGGGGACAGGGATGGTGGGGGCAGTGAGGGGACCTTGCTGGGACAGATGCTGGGATGCATTTGCCATGGTGTTGCTTTGCTGGGGTGGCAGAAGAGCTGTTGCCTGAGGTGTCACCTTCTGGAACACAGGAGGCTTTTGCTGGAACACAGAGCTTGTGGCTCCTGCAGTTGTGATGCTTTGCTGTCTGCAGCTCTTTGGGAGCATTCATCAAGTCGTGCTGGAGTCCCAAGGGCTGTGCCTCTGGCAGCCTCTAGAGTCCCCTTGTCCCTGCCCTTTGCAAGGCTTGGAGGGAGCAGCAGGATACTCAGTGGACACATGGGTGTTCCTGTGCCCTGTGTGCAGCCCCATGGGTGCTGTCCTGAACTGCTCTCTCCCCTCCTCAGGTGGGCCCTGGAACTTCGCCTTCACTGTGAAGTTCTACCCTCCAGACCCTGCCCAGCTCACAGAGGACATCACCAGGTAAGGACCACGGGCCTCCTTCCCAGGGAGTCCCAGCCTGCTGTGGGGTGCACAAGTCTCCTTCCTGGAGAGCCCCAGCCTGCCCTCGGGGGGCACCAGATTCCTTTTTGGGGAACCCCAGCCTGCTCCTTTGCCCCACTCTGACCGTCTGCCCCTCCTGCAGATACTACCTGTGCCTGCAGCTCCGTGCCGACATCATCACGGGGCGCCTGCCCTGCTCCTTCGTCACCCACGCCCTGCTGGGCTCCTACGCCGTCCAGGCTGAGCTGGGTGACCACGACACCGAGGAGCACGTGGGCAACTACGTGAGCGAGCTGCGCTTCGCCCCCAACCAGACGCGGGAGCTGGAGGAGCGCATCATGGAGCTGCACAAGACCTACCGGTGAGCCCCAGGAGGGGACAGCACAGGACAGCTGCCCCATGCCCGTGGGGCACCCAGCCACGTGTCCCCTTCTCTGTCTCCCTGCAGGGGAATGACCCCTGGGGAAGCAGAGATCCACTTCCTGGAGAACGCCAAGAAGCTCTCCATGTACGGAGTGGACCTGCACCATGCCAAGGTACGGGACTGGGGGCTGCCAGAGCACTGCCCCTTTCCAGCCTGCTCCTGCCCACCTTCCTCCTGCAGGGAAGGCTCCTGGCATGGCTTTGGGTGGCACCAGAGAAGCTCCAGAGATAACCTCCACCAGCCTGGGGTTCAGTGTTCCCTCTGACCCCCAGGCGCCCGCAGCACTCAGCAGCAAGGACGTGGCACTGCTGGCCAGGCTGGCTCTTGCTGAGCTGCTGACCTGTCCCCTCCTGTCCCTTTGCCTCCTCCAGGACTCCGAGGGCATCGACATCATGCTGGGTGTCTGCGCCAACGGCCTCCTCATCTACAGGGACCGGCTGCGCATCAACCGCTTCGCCTGGCCCAAGATCCTGAAAATTTCCTACAAGAGGAGCAACTTCTACATCAAGATCCGCCCGGGGGAGGTGGGTGCCAGGTGCTGGTGCAGCCCCTGGGTACCTGTCCTGAGGGGTTGGGGCTGACAGTGAGGATTTCCTCACCTGGCTCTGGCCTCTGCTCCAAGGATCCCACGTTTATGACCATGCTGGCCAAGAAAGCACATTCCTGTAGCATGGATTTTCTTTCATGTTCTCTTGTGACTTCAGCAGCTGAGGGACCCCAGGATCCCATCCCTGACAAACATCACGCCAATCATATCACCTACAAGCTGGTGTAGGGAGCTTGCCCAGGAATGGGGATTGAGGGCCATTTTTGTCATATCTTCACAAGGTTTTTACATTCATTTTCAGACTTTATTTTCATTCATTTATGATGGGAAAATGCATTTCCACCCACACTTTCCAGCAGGCTGGAGGGCAAGGACAGCACACCTGGTAGTGATCCCTCAGACCAAAACAGCTGGAAAAGCTTTTTGTTTCTTGAGGGAATTTATCTTGCACTGAAAAGCCATTTACAGCTGACGAAAGTGCTTAAGCCAGAGGTGTGGGGTGTATTCCATCACCCTGCTGGGCATGGTGCTGGGCATGGATTTGAAGATTTTTGAGGGTCTTTTGCATGGTCACAGCTCCTGCCAGGGTAACCTGAGGACCTTGGCAAGGTCCTGGCATGTCCCCCGGGGCAGGATGTGCCTGTAACAGCCTGTCTCTGTCTCCCCCAAGTATGAACAGTTTGAGAGCACCATTGGCTTCAAGCTGCCCAACCACCGCTCAGCCAAGAGGCTCTGGAAGGTCTGCATAGAGCATCACACCTTCTTCAGGTGAGGAACCTCCTCTAGACCTTCTCCAGGCCTCCTTTCCCAGAGGCAGACACGTTCCTGCTTCTGCTGCAGTGGGTGCACGTGGGGGGCAGTGCCGGGGAGCCTGACTGGGGCTCACTGACAGCCTCCCACCGCTGTGACCCCTAGGCTGGTGTCCCCAGAGCCACCCCCCAAGGGCTTCCTGGTGATGGGATCCAAGTTTCGGTACAGCGGGCGCACGCAGGCGCAGACGCGCCAGGCCAGCGCCCTCATCGACCGCCCCGCGCCCTTCTTCGAGCGCTCCTCCAGCAAACGCTACACCATGTCCCGCAGCCTGGACGGAGGTACGGCCGCCTGGGCACGGGGCACACCGCTGCGCTGGCAGCAAGAGTCACAGCACAGCGTCACAGCAGCATCAGGCTTCCTTCTGGAGGCTGTCCCCAGCCACATCCCCCTGGCACAGGGGCTGTCCCCACCCCAAGGGATAGCTCAGACTGTGCATGAACAGGGGAATGTGGCAGGGCTGGGGTCAGGCAGCTCAGGGACACATCACCCCCTCCCCTGTGCTCTGGGACTGCTGGGACCACCTACCCCACGTGTCCTGCTGAGGCAGGACTGGGGTGGCAGGGCTGGGCTGACCTGGCTGTCAGAGCTGGGAGGAGCTGGGTGGCAGGGCTGGGGTGACCTGGCTGTCAGAGATGGCAGGGGCAGGGGGGCTGGGGCAGGAGCGGGCTGGCAGGGCTGGGGTGACCTGGCTGTCAGAGCTGGCAGGGGCAGGGGGGATGGGGGCTGGGGCAGGAGCAGGCTGGCAGGGCTGGGGTGACCTGGCTGTCCCCCATGTGCAGAGTTCTCGCGCCCAGCCTCCGTCAGCGAGAACCACGATGCCGGGCCTGAGGGTGAGAAGCAGGATGAGGACGGTGAGTTTGGCAGCAGGAGACGCTCTGAGACAGAGGATGAGGAGGTGACCACCCCGACGAAGATCAAGGAGCTGAAGGTACATCCGAGTGGGCAGAAGAGGGTGGGGTTGGAGGGGTAGGCAGGCAGGGCCTGGGCACAGGCAGCAGGGCCGCGCTGCAGGCAGGAAGGGTCACCTCCAGGCAGGGTCCCTGCAGCCCTGTCAGTGTCAGCTGTGCCCCAGGCTGGTGGGACCCTCGGGATGTAGCTCTTGGCCCCACTGGTGGAAGTGGAGCTGTCACAGGGGTTCAGCTTAACTTGGATTCCCCAGAGCTCTCCAGGTGGTCTCAAGGCTTATCCCCAGGCAGGGCTGACCTGGGAGCAGCCCAGTTCTGGGACAGGGATGGGGACAGGCTGAGCACATCAGTGCCCACCGCTGCCTGGGCACAGCCCACCCCCTCCTGCCCTGGTCCCTGGGCTGTCCCAGCCCATTTCAGCCCCATGCTGGGAGGGGAGGGGGGTCCCTACCAGCCTATCAATTTAACTGTGCTGTTTGTGACAAGTGCCCTCAACTGACCCTGCTGGTTACTTTTAACCCTCTCTTTGCTGCCAGCCGGAGCACGAAACAACCCCCAGGCACAAGCAGGAGGTATTCTCTCTCTGGAGTATCTTAGTCCTCATTGGTGCATCATATTGTCCATCCTTCCCAAAACAAGTCTGTCTGTCACCCTATTTACTGGAATACAAGATGCACCGGGCTGGGGGTTGGGTGCTGGAGGAGCCCGAGGAACAGACAGCTGGGGATCAGCTGTGGCATCTTCTATCCCACTAAGTAAGGTGGTCCTGATCGTGCCTGTGAGCAAGAGCCCTCCCAAGGGCAGGAGAGCCCCTGGCCCATTGGGATGACCTGGCTTCTGCTCGTGTTCCTGACCCTGCCATGTCCTCACCTTGTGTCTCCTCTCCTGTGGAGCTGGTCCCATCCTCCTGCTGGCACTCGACCCACGCTCTGCTCCTGCCTCAAACCAAGCTGCCTCATCTCCCCCTGCCCAGCTCTTCTGCAGCCCCCTGAGAGCTGGGCTGGGGCTCCCTAAGCACTGTGGCTGCCATCCCACCCCACAGGGGCCAAGAGGCTCTGAGCTGCCTGGGGGAGGCCAGCGCTGACACCAGCCCTGTGCCTGCCCACCCTGAGAGGGGCTGAGCAGAGAGGGAGGCTGAGCCCTCCCTGCACAAACTGTGCCTGTGGTGGCCCCATCAGGAACGATTTGTCCTGGCCTCCAATCCAGGGCTGCTCCCTGGGGGATCCCCTCTGTGAGCAGAGATCCCAGCTGGAGCTGCCAGTGGGAGCAAGCAGGGCCAGGGGATGGGGTTGGCCACGCTGGCACCACCCAGGCTCGCTGTGCAGCCCCACCGGAGGTGGGCACCGGCCCCGACCCCGCCCACCTCATCGCTTGCCCACTGCATGTGCATGTGCTGCACCCAGCCCAGAGGTGGGCACACCTGAGCCCTCCTCAGCTCCGACATGCGGGGCCAGGGCGGGACTTTTCCTGAGCTGTGCTGAGCCTTCAGCATCTGGAAAATTTGGTGGGGCTTTTTCTGGGACTCTCACGGGTCTCTGCTCTGTTGCCGAGGAGGTACCAGGGAGGTGTTTGGGGGGCCTCCTTTTGAACCTCAGGAGAGCTTTGGGTTTGGGTTGGAGGCAGAAGCCAGGTTCCTCCTGGGAGCTGGTTTGCCCACCTCTGCGGCGGGACGAGGGGGCCACCCAGCGCCTGTGCCCTCACCAAGCCACGCTCTGACACCTGACCCCTCTCCCCTGAGCACTCTGAGCTGTCCTCTCTCCACAGCAGATCAGACCCACCCCACCTGGGCTGGTCCACAGGGATCTAGGCCTGGATCCATGCTGGACATCCCTGCCCAGCCCTGGACTTCCACCTCTTTGTCAGAGCCCGCTCCGGAGGAGCTCTGCTGGAAATGCCACTCCCCTGCCTTTCTGAGACAGAGCCTGGGTTCCCTTTGTGCCTGGTGCCAGACAACAGCATAGGCTGCTGGTGTTTCCAGCAGGGCCCCATTCCTTGCTGATGCCAAGGGAGAGCCCACTCTCCCCTCCAGGAAGCTTTAGCTTGTCCCCAGCCAGGAGGACATGAAGCCCTGGAGATGCCACCAGGCCATGCCATGCCCTTGACCTGCCACACACATTCAGCTCTGTGCTGCCCTTCTGCTGCTTCCTGCAGGGAAAGAGCTGCTCCCTCTCTTCCAGTGAGACCTGCAGACCCTGGTGCTCCATTATGCTCCTCATTTGGTTCCTGAGACCCTAAATTCCAGCCCAGTGTGACACCAAGCCTCCCAGCCTCCCTGCTCATCCCTTCGGACTGGGCTGCTGCTTTAACCATCGCTCTCTTCCTCTCTCCTTCCCAAGTTTTTAGACAAGCCAGAGGATGTTTTGCTGAAGCATCAGGCCAGCATCAATGAGCTGAAGCGAACCTTGAAGGAGCCCAACAGCAAACTGGTTCACAGGGACCGGGACAGGAGGCTGCCTTCCTCACCAGCCTCTTCCTCACCCAAGCACGAGGATGAAACACCAAAGGGAACCCCTGAAAAGGCCACTGAGGTTTGTTCTGCTGCTTCTCTTCCAGAGAGGATCAGGATCTGTTGGGGAGGAGTCCTTCAGCTCCTGTGCTGCCCGGAGGGAGCATGGTGCGAGCGATGTGCTGGGGACAGGGATGTTGTTTCTAAGTTTTTGAATCATTTTCACTGCTGGAGGGGGGTGTCCCTGGGCACTGCAGGAGACTGAACAGCCCCTCTCTAGAGGTGTTTTGGGGCTACCTGAGAGGTGGGCTGTGTCTCTGGTGGCCCATGGGGTGAGGTTTTGCTCACTCTTCTCAGGAGCAGCCTGTGGGGCAGTGCAAGCACAGGTCCTGCCTGGGGGTGTCCCCAGCAGAGCAGGACCAGGCCCCTGTGCAGGGGAGTCCCATGGTGCTCTCAGCACTGGAAGCTGGGTGATGGGAGGAGGTGGAAGAAGAGTGGTGCCACGCTGGCATCCCACACTCACATCCTCCCTTCTGGGCATTCTGCACCCTGGCTTTGCACTGGGACCATGGGGCGACAGGAGAGCGCTGGAATGGGGGTGCCAGGACAGAGCCCCCGGTGCTGGAGGGGTATGGATGTGGCACAGCTGGGCTCTGTGGACTGGGGCCTGCTGGGCTCAGTGCAGGCAGCATGTGACAAGAGTGTCCCCCTGCCAGCCTGGACACCCTGTCCCTGCCAGGGACCCTCCCTACCTGCTGTCCCCTGGCAGGGCTCTGAGCCAGTGCTGTGCCTGCAGCAGGAGATGTGTTTCCAGGAGGGTGGGTGCCACACGTGGGGCTGTTCTGCCCTGGTTGCCCTGGCCATGGAGAGGGCATGGGCTCTGCAGGGAATTCAGGATGTGCCCATATTCCCACTGGGCCCCATCACTGCCCAGAGATTGGGGCTGCAGGGGGGCTGTGGCCCCTGACAAAGCACTCAGCTGGGAAGAAGAGGGACTTTCCCCCACACTGCTTTTACCATGGAATATATCAGGTGCAGAGATGTGAATGGAGCATCTAGAGCTGGCACAGCTGTGACCTCTGTCCATCTATCTATCCATCCTTCCATCCATTCATCCATCTGCTCACCCACCTGCCCACCCTTTGTTTCTTCATTCCTTCTCAAATTCTCCCTTTCTCTCTCTCTCTCTCTCTCTCTTTGTCTCTCTGTCTCTGTCTCCCTCTCTCTCCCCGTCGGTGCTGGGGTTTCCGTGCTGGCACAGACGATGGAAGAGGACACCTTAGACGATTTTGCATCTGAGCATGGAGCTTCCTTAAGCATGGAGTCTTTCACACAGAAAAGCCTTGTCTCCTCTCCTGAGGTTGTCACCATCCCCTTTCTCCCCCACCTCTCAGTCTCAATGTGGGGGTCCCCAGCCTGCCAAGGGGTCCTGTGGCCTCTGAGCAGAGCTGCCCATGTCTGGGTCCCGTTTCTGGTGATAGGCAGGACCCCTCCCATGGCAGGGCTGTTGGTGAAACCTCTCCCCTGGCTGTTCTCTGGCTGGATTCTGAGATATGTTCCTGGAGAGAGCTCCCAGTGCTGCTGTGGGGCCATGCAGGAGCCCAGTACTGAAGGTCCCAAGGCAGGGGTGACCTGATGGCCTGGACACCCAGGTGACTGCTCCAGCAGCCTCAGGTTGCCCTTGGCTGCAGCTGGAGTTCCCTAGGCTCAGGCACCCTGACAAAGGCATCCTTGGACTCCTGCCTGTGCACAGCCAGGTCACGCTCCATCAGTGTGAGGGGTGTGAGCTCTCAGCACCCTCTGTGTGCAGGTTTAGCTCAGGGGAGGGGACAGCCAAGAGTGGTGCCTTCACTGAGCAGAAGCAGGCTGGGGTTAGAGCCTTGGTTCTGGAGTGGTTGGTCCCAGGGACACATGGTGCTGGGACACTTGTCCTGCCTGAGCACCCCAGGGGTGGGGGACAGGCTCGGCACACTCTTGCTCTGTGTGGATGTCCCTTAGTGCATGCAGAAGTCACCAGCACAGGCAGGAGCCTGACCCTGGGCTGGCTGAAGCAATCCCCAGGAGGCAGGATGGGGGGTCAGGGAGGGCTTGGGCACAGCCTGGGCTTCAGCAAGGATATGGCACCTTGAGTGGAGCAGCAGCATCTCCTGGTCCATGTTGGCACCCTCCCCATTCCAGTATTTCAGAGCTGGAGGACAGATACAGCAGGTGTGTGCTGCACACACATCTCTGGAGCTGGTCTCGCCCTCGGCGTGCCTGGCCTGAGCTGGGGTGCAGGTGCTAAGGAGGCCTCACCAGTGGTTTCTCTCGAGGCATCTGTGACTGAGACTCAGCCCTGGCATGTCCCCACATACCCTCACAGGCCAGAGCCTGTGGTCCCCATGAGAGATTGATTCGAGGGGGTAAAGGCACATCTGCAGAGCCTGGAGCTCTTGTCACTGCCAGAAGATCTCCTGGTGCCCATGGGCTTCAGGCCCACTGAGGTTGGATGGTCTGTCAGTTCCAGCCCTCTGTCCCCACTCCTGCTGCAGGACAGGAACACTGGACTGGGCAGTGCCAGAGCCTCTCCAGCTCCCTGTTTTGTCCCAGCATCTGATTCCCTCATTGTCCTTGCCTGAGGCTGTGCTTTCCTCTCAGGTGAGCTGGGTCTTGCTCAGAGCAGAGGAGGGCAGCAGAAGCACTGAAGGATGCCCAGGGGAAAAGCCTCACACGTGCCCAGGGCTCTCTGAGGTTGTTGCCCCCATTGTCAGGGGCAGAGGTTGTCTCTGCTCCCTTCTGTCTCTTGTGCTGCCTAGGCCACAGTGGGAATGGCCTTCCCACTTGCTCCTGTCCCTAGAGCAGATGTGGAGGGAGGGAGGGAAGAGAAGTGTGGAGGTCACTTATTCCTTGGGAGCTCAAGGCTGGTCTCTGGACAGACCCTTCCCAGCATCATCCCTCCAGAGGCAGCTTTGCTATGGTTCCATCCTCCAGCCCACTGACCTCCAAAGCTCATGAACTCCCTGCTTCCCTGGGGAACGTGTCCCAGTATCCAGAGATTTGCTCCAGGCATCCCCCAGAGCCCTCAGGCTCTGGAGACACAAGGGCTGCCCTGAGCTGTGGCTGGAGCTGGCACTGAGCCCTCCAGAGCTGAGTTCACACCAAGGAGCTGGATGTCCCTTGAGCTGGGCTGTGCTCATCTCAAGAGTCTGAGGAAAAGGAAGAAGCTTGTTTGGAAATAAATCTGAAACTTTGGGGTTTTCCTGACTGGCGAAGAGGTCCTGTTATGGATGAGCACGTTCTGGGAGTCAGACTTTTTGATCTACATTTATCTTGGGCCTTAACTCAGAGAAGGAGCCTGAAGAAACTCATCTCCTTTGCCCAGGGAAGGTCTTCTCCGAAGGACTCTGGTTTGCAGCTGGAGAAGAGGGATGAGAGGGCTTTGCTGAGGAGATTTGTACATGTGCTGTCCATCCTTGTCCTGGCTGAGAAAGGGTTCTGCAGTGGGACAGCAGGGCAGGAGGAGAGAAGCTTCTGCACCCTCAGGAAAGTGAGCGGTGTCCTGGCTGAACAGAAGGAGGGAGTGCTGAGGGAATGAATGCCAGGCACCAGCCTGGGCTGTGAGCAGCCCACTGAGCCTCCCAGTTAGGGGTGATGCTGCTGCCATGGGTCAGACCCAACTGGGAACAGCCCTGGTGCAGCTGCTGCTCCTGGCAGGCACTGATGTGCTCTGTTCTGATTTCCATGGACTGGGAAGGAACAAAAGCTGTGCTGGAGGCAGGTGTGGAGGAAGGGAGCTGGAGAGCAGCTGGTGCAGGGTAAGGGGCTATGGGAGAGGCTCGTGCTGGAGGGGGCTGTAGGTCAGGGTCACCTGCAGACCCTGCTGCTCAGTGGGGCTGTCTGGCCAGGGCAGAGTCTCTGCCAAGGATCCCTCTGGCACCAGAGGAGGAGGGTGCCCTTGCTGCCCATCCCTGTGGATGTCCTGGCACTGCAAGGAGCTGGTACCTCCCTGCCCTCAGGGGTGGGGTGTTCTCTTGGGGGCCCACAGGCTGTACCCCAGGAAAGCCCTGGGGTGCTTCCCTGAAGGCTCCTGGGGACTTTCTGGGGCATAGGCAGAGCCTGGGGTAGGGGCGGGCAGGGGGCTGCAGTGAGGGCAGGAGCAGGGCCTGCAGCACTGTGCTGAAGGAGCTCTGCTTCCTTTGGCACCTGGCAGAGAAAGCAGCAGCTGAGAATGGCATTTCTCTGCTGGAGGCTTTAACTGATTCCTCATTTCCTTGTGGAAGCTCTTCCACTAGTAACTGGTTTTCCTCCTTTCTTTCTCTCCTCTAATATTATCTTCCCTTTCCCCACTCTGGCTCTGCTCCCCTCTGCCCCCAGTTTCCCCTTCTCCAGTATCAGTCACTAGGTTTGCATTTTGGGTGCAACTGCTCCAGACATTTCCCTGCCCCCTGCATGGGGTGAGGCTCACGTTTCCATGGATCACTGTTCCTGCTTGGAGGGGGAATGGACAGGCAGTCCCCTCCCTGAGCCTGGAGTGCATCCTGGTGCCCTCGAGGGCCATCCTTGCCCCTGCTGCAGCCTGTGCCCAGGCAGGCTGTGCTGTGGGCAGTGCCAGCCCCACGGGGAGCCCCAGCACTGCCCTCCTCGTGTGCTGCCAGGGGTGGCTGAGCTGCCTCATGGTGCAGATGTTCTCCTGAAACTCTATTCCCATGAGTTATTTCCTACCTGCTCTTCCAAAAGTGGCTGGATTTTAGCAGTGCTTTGTTCTTGGCACTCATGAGGCCTTTAGCTGACGTGCAGGATGAGCTCGTGGATGTACAAGGTGTCCCTCGCAGCAGTGACCTGGCGTCCCCTGCTAGCAGCACGGTGACATTCCTGCTGTGGCCGTGCTGCAGGATACTCCATGGCCTTTGCTTGGTCCTGCTGCTGAGCCCATGGTCTTTTACACTTTCACAGGTGACAGTTTCTGAACACTTGGTTTCAGCATGGCTGGGTTCTGAGGAGATGTCCCTGATGAGCTGGAAAGGAGGGATGGCCTTGGGGGGAATCTGAGCTGCAGCATCTGGTAGGAAAGGAACAGGGCCTTGCTGATGGCTTCAGGTGGTTTCTTTCCCTGCTTGTGTTCTTGGCAATCTGATGAATTCTTAGGGCACATGGATGAGGCTGAGAATGAAGCTATCCAAAACCATTGCTTCCAATGAAATCTCATCCCTGGGAATTGCCAGAGCCAGCTGAAAACAAGGGGGCAGCCAGCCTCCAGAGAGACCCTGGTGGCTGTTAACGTGTCTAATGGGAGCTCCACTCCCACTGTGTGCCACCAACAAAGCCCCAGCTATTGCAGGTGTGTCAGGGAGCCACCACCCAGAGCAAAGCACTGTCCCCAGAGAGGACACTGGCTCAGTCCCCAGTGTGGCATCAGCTCCTTATTTCCAGTCCCTCTCTCCATCAGTGAGTTGCTAGGCTCTTTGTACAGTCTCAACTCCGGCCTTGGTAAGAACAATAGTAGTAGTAATAATGATAATAATAATAATAATAATAATAACAATAATAATAATGATGATGATGACAATGACGTAGCCAGCCCTGTGCCAGGCAGACCAGCTGTGCCACTCGTGCCAGCAGCAGTCGGGGCCAGGGTGTCTGATGCGTTTAACTCTTCTTGCTCCAATTGCAATACAGGGCTCGGAGCACTGGGTATTTATAGAGAGAGAAGCCCCTAGGCTGGAAGCTGTAGCTCTGAGGAAAACTCTGAGAGCCAAGACGGAAGAAGCACGTGCAGGGACCTCGGAGGGCAACACAAGTGGGAGCCTGACGAAAGTGGAGGTGACAGTAGGGAAAGCCAAGGACATGACAGGCCAGGAAGAGCCTGTGGCTGCAGCCTTGGAGACGAGGAAGAGAGCCAAAATGATTGCTAGTCCTGAGGATTTTGAGTCTGTGTGGGAGGATGAGCTCTGTGAGAAGGAAAGCAGGGGTGAGTCCAGCCCGGGGGTGGCACCTCTGCCCGCCGAGGGCATGGAGAGGGAGCCCCAAGAGCTGGGCAAAGGCGCAGCCACCAGTGAGCCAGGGCCCTGTCAGCAGCATGAAGAGAGGCAAAGGACCAAGATTTTGGAGCCAGAGCCTCCCCAAGGAGAAGGTGAGGTGCTCTCCAAGGAACGTACTTCTTCAGCCTTCAGGAAGCAGGAGGCCAGAGTGCCAGCCACCGCCCCAGAGCTCCTGAAAATTAAAGTGAAGGCTGGCGACGACAGCACGGAGACTTCTGCAACTCAGAGGATCATCTACTTAGGAGATCCAGAGGGGGAGGAGAAGGACAGTAAAATGCACCTGGTCTTGGACACTGGTGGGTGGCTTGGCTTGGACGAGAGACCAGAAGCCCAAGTAAACACATCCGGAGGGAGATCCGAGCATGTGGCACCCGTGGCAGAAGGGTTCCAACCCCTCTCCTCAGCAAGTCACCAACACAGGACAGAGTCTGGAAAACCCACTGGAGCACCAGAGCTGCCTGAGATGGGCTTTGATGGGACCAGCCTGGGGGGACGCCCCCTCTCAGGGTGGGAAGAGCTGTCCCTGCAGCCAGAGAAAGCAGCTGGTGCCAGGGTGCCTGGAGGAGCACCCATGGGAAGCGAAGCCCTGCTGTGTTCCCAGGAGGTGGAACCAGAGGAGACAGAGCTGCAGAGCTCAGTGGGAGGCTTGAAGCCGTGTGGCCTGGCAGGGGATGGCCCTAGGGCTGAGGAGCACAGAGGGAGCCCAGCACAGTCCCCAGACATCAGCCCAGCACTGGAGGGGCTCTCGGGAAGGGTTGGAGCAGACAGTGACAGGGAGGAAAGTGCCAGAGTGGTTCTTCAGATGGAAGAGATAGAGCCCAAGTCACCTCCATCATCAGCTAGTCCTCAGCAGGGCCACACTCACACCATGGGGCTGGAGGGGCACAAACCCAGTGCTCCTGTCCCTCCACCCCTTCCCCAGAAACCCAGCCCAGTCCCTGCAGAGCCTGCAGGCACGGAGCCTCAGGGCACAGACCTGTCCCTGGGCACCAGCCCTGCCAGAGGGGTGGCCATGCCCGAGGGTGTGAGCCCCTCCATGGAGGTGGCACTACCCATGGCCACCGACCCTGAAGCTGAAGAACAATCCCAAAATGTGGGATTTGCCTCATGGAAACCCCATCAGGAGACAAGTCCTGTTACCGGAGAACCACCCCAAAACACAGACACTGCAGCAAAGTTGATCCAGGTTAAAGACCTGGCCACCAGGGAGGTGGTCCAGGACATGGACACAGCACAGAACAGCGTCCCTGCCACTGAAGAGCCACTGCAGGAGAAGCCCATGATCAAGGAGCTCTTCCAGGGCTCAGGGTCAGGGAAGCTGACCAGAGATGAAGGCTCTGGGATGGAAGAACTGTCCCATGACAAAAGCCTTGGCATGGCTGAGCTGCCCCCCAAGGGAGAAGAAGCAGAACACCAGACTGAGACAATCCTGAGAGACTTGCCTCTCCACACTGCAGATCCCAAAGCACAAGAGCCACACTGGAACTCAGAGTTCAGTGTGGGACAAGATCTGCAGGGTGGGAGCTGGACAGTCCCAGAAAGCACCAGGGACAGTGACCTGGCTCTGGGGCAGCCACCACAGGATGGGTCTCCTCCCAGAGCAGCTGCTGATGTCCCACATTTCCAGTCCTTTGCAGCAGGACTGTGCCAAGGAAGCGAGGTATTCCAGCTCCCTGCCCTGGTGAATGAAGATGGGGCAGAGCAATCAAGTGGTGGGACACATCCAGCAGAGCCTGGGGTCTCAGTGTGCATGGCTGGGCTGGCAGGAGCTGTGTCCCAGGAACACGGGGATGCTACTGTGGCCCCAGGAAACCAGCAGGACAGCAAGAGCTTCAGGGAAACCTCCGTGGCCTCTAAGATCAAGATGTTTGAGCAAGGTGAAGTGGAGCGAAGGGCGGTCCAGGAGGGACAGGAGCCTGAAGCTGAGACATCGGTGACAGCCACGGAGACAAATCTGGCACAGAACGCGCCTTTGAGTACCGGCCTCGCCTCACCCCCTGCAGTGGGACCTGTGTCTAGTGTGGGCTCCTTGGCCCTTGGACAAGGGGCTGGTTCAGGAGACACCTCCCAGCCTCGCTCCCTGAAGGAACATGTCTCTGCTGACCCTGAGCACGAAGAAGACAGTGCCGACCTGGCCTCGCCCGACTCCGGCTGCGAGCTCACCCTGGCTGAAGCCGTGGTAACTCCACTGAACCGTCCGGACGGGACATTCGTGCGCATGTTCTGTGGCTCTGCCCGTGTCCAGTGGCTCCTCACACATCCATTGACTGGCAGCAGGCGCTTTGCATCCCTGTCCTCTCTGTCTGTGTGTGTGGTCAGGCTTCACTGGCTGCATGTGCGGCCGCTGCCCAGTCGGTTCATCAGCTTTTGTTTTGCGCCCCCCAACATTTTGGCTCCCTGGAGAATGCCGCTCGCTGAAGCCAGGAGGGGCACCCGAGCTCCGTGGCCAGGAGCAGGAGGGGGCGCCGGGGGGTGGCTGGAGGAGCTGGGACTGTTACGGACACGCAGCCCCAGCAGCGGTGTGCCCACGCTTCCAGCTTCACCCCTGCATTTCCTACGTTGGTTGATACCCCTTCTTGCTTAGCTCCCACCCTGCCCTGCCTTCAGCAAGCTGGTGGCTGGGTGATGGAGTAGCTTCCCTCGCTCTTGAGAGCGCTAGAGCAGCTCCTGCAGAGTTCATTTCCTTCCGACTAACCCTTTTCTCTAATCCAGAGCAAATCTCAGGAACCAAGTGGGGAAGAAAAGGATTTATGTGACCCATCAGTAAAATCCAGCCTGAAAGAAGAGAATGTAAAGGCTGCTGTTCCAGTGGTCTCACAGGTCTCAGTGCTGTCTTGCTAAGTGCTTCTCCCAGCAGTGTGAGCGCTCGCCCTGCGACCAGGGCTGTGCTGCCCCTCCGCTCCCCTTGCAGGGCTCTCTGTATGTATTGGTCAGACACCCCCAACACGTGTCTGCAGGTGTGTTCCTCGGGGGCTGCTGGACACCCTGTGTCTCGTCCATACCTCTCAACCTCCCACAGTGCCGAGGGAGGGGTGTGCTGGCACCTGGGGGGATGGCCCTGGCTGCGAACGCTGGAGCAGAGGCCGGGGTGGGGTTTCCTCTGGCATCGGTGGGCTTAGAGCTGTTCCTAAGGGACAACTGGGTCTAGATTTCCCATGGCTTCATGGCAAAGTGTGGCAATGGGACACGTCCCCTCCGATGGCAGAGTTGAGAGGTATGTCTGTGTCTGGAGAAGAGTGGATGGAGGGAGGTCATCCCTTGGCTCTGGCCGTGCTGTCAATTACACTGACCAGGACACCCTGAGACTCACCTGAGGCCTCTGAGGGGCAGGTGGTGTCAGTGGGACAGACTCACCCCGGGGCAGCTGTTGGGCTGGACCTCCCCCCACGGTGATGTTCCACAGGATGTTCAGTGGAATTGGCTCACTCCTCCTCAGTGGAATTGGCACCGTCCTTCGCTTCTCCCTCACCGTGCCTGGCTGATGGGCCCTTTCCTTTCAAACTCTTCTCTCTTTCTTTCCCTTGTTTGTTTTTTTTTTTGAGTCACTGACATCCGATAGCCCTGCGTCTGAGCTCTTTCTGAATGTTTCCTATCAGACCCATTGTTTTGCATTCATCTGCTTCCACCAGTGCACTGAGGTGCCTCCAAGCTGGCCAAGCTTTTTTTTCGTCTGACCGAGCCTTTTTGAGATGATTCATTGCCAACAAACATTTGGCACAATCCAATTGAGTCACCTTCTCTCCCCCAGCAAAGCCGCTGATATCAGAAAGGTTTCGGTCTCCATGCTTGAGTTGTGTTTGACTCTACTCTGTGATGTTTGCTGCAGCCTTCCTCCTCCTCCTCCTCCCTCCTCCTCCTCCTCCTGCTGTGTCCCTGCCAGCGCTGCCCCGCGGTGCTCACGGCCCCGTGTCTCCACGATTGTGTCTCCTTCAGAGAGCGGGCGTGAGGGAGGGGCCTGAGGAGAGGGTGAAACCGCCCCGGCACAGGGCCCCCGAGAGCGACACCGGCGACGAGGAGCCCGACCAGGAGAAGGACTCGGTCTTCCTGAAGGACAACCACCTGGCCATCGAGCGCAAGTGCTCCAGCATCACGGTCAGCTCCACCTCCAGCCTGGAAGCGGAGGTGGACTTCACCGTCATCGGGGACTTCCACAGCACAGCCTTTGAGGACATCTCCCGGAGCCTGCCCGAGCTGGACAAGGACAAGAGCGAAACGGAAGATGAAGGCCTGGCTTCCTTCCAGCACACTGACAAAGTAGTTTCCGGACTGGAAGAGGATGTCAAAGGCAGGGATAAGGTCTCCCAGCCCAGCCCAGATGTCTCCCAGCCAGAGGTACACAGGGACACCACTCACCGGAGCCGGCCCGGTGCCGTCGTGCCTCCGTGTCCCTCGTGCCCGGCTCTGCCCGGCGCGTGCGCGCTCCCGGCTGGTTTTGGGGAGCATGCTGGCTGCCACCCCCCGTTCCTGCCCGCTGCACGCAGTGTCTGTGTTGCATGGCTCTGTCCCGTGCTTCGTGCATCTCCTAACCGGGAGGAGCCACTGTCACCTCTTGGTCCCTGTCCCGCCCTCAGCCCACGTGGCACTAACCATCGGAGCTGTCCTTGTGTCCTGCATGAATTCAGTTACCAGTCTGTAGTGCAGAGCCACGTGCTGCTCACTAACCTCTCTGGTCATGCCAGGGCTGGGGGGGATTGGCCTCGTGGAGCCGCCCTGGAGCTCATGGAGGGTCGCTCTGTGCTGGGAGGGATCACAGCAGGGCTAACAAAATTGCATGTGCATGTGTGTGGGGCTGAGTGCACGCATGGGGTAGAACAGCAGAACCAGCCCCAACTCCGTGTGGCCTTGTCTCTGTGCTTATCTCAGCCACCCAGGGCAGCCTCCAGCCCTGCAGGTAAGTCCCCAGTGCTGGCCAGAGCTGCTGAGGTTAGTTCAGACCTAAAGCCAGCAAAGAACTGCAGAATTGGAGGGAGCTGTCTCTGAGCCAGCCTGGAAACCCTGGTGCTGTGGCCGTGGGTGATCTGCTCCATGGCCAGTGTGGGCAGGGGGCTGCTGGCTCAAGAATGCTGAGCACTGGTGAAGCATCCCCCATGCAGGAGCCCTTGGCAGCTCCGTTTTCCCACAGCCTGTGTCCATTCCCCTGAGGCTCTGACACCCCTGGTGTACCCAGAGCCACCAGGAGCTGGTGCAGATGACAAAACGGCTGCAGCACATGCGTGAAACTGGATTGGTGGGTCTCACTTGGCTTTTGAAGAACAGTTTGTCCTTATCCATGGTATCTGTAAATCTATCCAAAAACTCCCAGGGACAGAGCAGCAGGCCTGATTTGGGGTGTGTGGGTTCCTGGGTACTGTGGCTGGTGGCCATCTGCCCAGGGCAGCAGCCCAGCCCTGCTGTTTGCCCAGGTGGGACTCAGTGTGTGACACACAGGACATCGTGTGTGGCACCTGCAGAGGAGCAGGGCAGGGATGCTCTGCCAGGGGCTGGTGCACAAGGAGTACAGAATCAGTGTCTGGGTTGGAAGGGACCTTAAAGGTCATCTCTTTCCAGTGCCATGCCATGGACAGAGCACACAGGGCTGTTGGCATCGTGCCCCAGGGCCTAGCTCTGCTGACTCTCCGCTGTTCCTCCTGCAGCCTTCAGCCCCAAAAGTGGACGCTGTGACTGTGAAGAAGCCTGAAGCAGAAGGCTCCACTCCCCATCGGGTCAGCACCACAGACACAGCCCAGGTGACGTGGTGGCTCCTCAAAGCCTCAGCCCACCAAAGCCTGTCCCTGCTAGCAGTGCTGGGAGGGTGGGGGCTTTGTGGGGTGGTTGGGGACCTCTGCTCACCCTTTGCTTGCTGAAGCCCCCCAAAAAAAAACTAAAGCCCAGCCAGAGGTGTTGTCTGAGTGTCCCTGGCCCCACCTGCCATGCTGCTGAGCAGTGCTGGCACACAGGAACATCTATAGAGGGTGACAGCCACCGGCTGTCCCTCGCTTCCTCTGGCAGCAGGGATATGGCCACACTGTCCCTGCAAGTGTCACCCACTCCCTGGTGGCACCTACAGGCTCACCTGGTTTCCTTTACCCTGGCAGGTGGATGGAGGCACCCCAGGCAGCAGGGACACCACCACCACTGCCCAGGTTGGCACCACAGAGACAGCACTGGTGACCTCAGTAAGGGGGGCTGGCCCTCAAGGGGTGGGAGAGCCACTGTCCCCTGTGGTCCCTCTGCTCCAGCAGGAGTGACTGGGGCCAGCTGTGCTGGGGGGACCCTGCCCCACTGGGGTTGCCTTTGGAGGGTGACACCTGCCACGTTTGCCCCATGCCAACACAAGCCAACGTGCCCATCTGCTCTTCTTTCAGGATCAAGGCACCAAGGCTGGTAAAGGGGCCGCTCCCAGCACAGACCTTCGCTCCCTGTCACCGGTGAGGGGGGACGTGGTGCCACAAGCCAGGCCAAGTTGGGGAAGGCAACCCTGGGGGGCTGGGAGTGGGTGGGATTGGTCCCACTGGGTCCTCTGCTGTGTTCCCAGCACTGGCACCTGGCTGATGTGCTGGTACTGGGAAGGGCAGAGGGACACTCAGAAGATTGGGGAGCAAGAAATCAGGAGACCCCAGCCTGTGGGCTTTTTCCTATGCCAGATCCATACCTTTGAGTATCTGCCTGAGGAGGGCAATTCCCAAAAATACTCCAGTCCCTGGTGCAGTGGGCTGAGATGCATTCAGCCCTGGGTGTCCTGCAGGGTCACCCAAGGACACCCACAGTTTCCTGACTCCAGTGGAGGTGTTGGCCACCAACCACGCTGCCCAGCACAGCCCTTCCTCTGGAAAGGGATTTCTCTACTCCATCCGCTTGTTTTGATGGAGTCCAGCCTGGCCAAGCACCAGGTGCTGTCCCAGGCTCATCCCTTTGTGCTGCAGTGAGAGCAGAGTTAGCACTGGGGCTGGGGTACCAGTGCATCCTTCCCAGCTTGCCTTCCCAGCCTTCCCAGCCCTTGGCACGCACAGGGGGATGGACAGAGACAGAGGCAGCCTGAGAGCTCAGTGCTAGAGTGGCCCTGAGGGTGGGTGGGGAAGAGCCAAAAGCAGCCATGAGACCCTCTATCCACTGCAGAGGCCCTTTCCAGCAGCTGTGGGCCTGGGATAGCCGTGGAAACCTCTCCCTGTTCCCCCCAAGCCCTTGGTGCAGTTGGAAGCACAACTCGGTGCCTTTTTCCCTTGCCATGCTCTCCCCTCCCGTGCTTGGCTGAGTGGCTCTATCCCAGTGGGAAGGTCCTGGCTCACTGGGAGCTGGGCTGGGGGCTCCCCCAGCACATGCCCCTGCCTGCAGTGCTCGTGTCCCGCAGATCTCCGGCGGCTCCGCTGGGAAGGAGGTGCTCACCAGCATATTCAGCGCCACTGCGGAAACGCTCTCCACTTCCACCACCACCCATGTTACCAAGGTGAGAGCAGCTCCAGGGCTTCCTGAGGACTACTGGAATTAGGGAATGGGTGGATTTGTATTGTGATTGGTACAGCAGAAAAAAAGCCCCTCTCCTCCCAACGAGAGCTGTGTGCTTTCCCGTGGGACTGGTGATCCTGCAGAGTGCTCTGTGCCCTGGCTGCTGCCTGTCCCATCCAGCCAGGTGTGACCACAGCAGGCAAGCACAGCCAGGGGTGTGCATTCAGCCAGGGGCATGCCAGGGCTGGGAGGTGAAGGAGATGAGGCTGCAGCAGAGGGTCTCACCCATGGCCATTGCATCCCCAGATTAAATATATGCTCTTCTTCCAGGGAACAAGGGTCAGGATGTGGGGAAATGGCCTCAAGTTGCACCAGGGGAGGTTTAGATATTGGATATTAGAGAAATTAGGTTGGATATTAGGGAAAATTTCCTCACAGAAGGGGTGGTCAGACACTGGCACAGGCTGCCCAGGGCAGTGGTGGAGTCTCATCCCTGGAGGGGTTTCAAAGATGTGCATCTGTGGTACCTGGGGACATGGTCAGTGGTGTCCTTGGCAGTGCTGGGGGAGCAGTTGGGCTTGGTGATCTCAGAGAGCTTTGCCAGCCTCAGTGATTCTGTGATTGTATAACCACAGCTGCAGCTCTGTGAGGGAGCAGGAGGGTGCTTGGTACCTGCCCCCAGCTCCTCTCCTTGCCCCATGGGCTGCTGTGTGTCACACTTCTCCCTGAGTCAAGGGCAGTGGGAGCTCTGCTGAATTACAGGGCAGTTCCTGAGGGGATGCTGGTGCTGTTCCTGCTCCTGTGGCAGAGTTCCCCTTGTCTGGAGCTGCCTGGTGGGACAGGGCTGAGCGTTCTCCTTCTCCTCACAGACTGTGAAAGGGGGGTTCTCCGAGACCCGGATAGAGAAGCGCATCATCATCACGGGAGATGAAGATGTGGACCAGGACCAGGTAGGAGCAGGATGTCCTGCCTTTGCCCAGTTCTGCCTGTCTCTGGATGCAGCACTGCATGTTTGTACTTCTGGCTGAATCTGTTTACCCCTTTTATCCAGGAACTGACTGCCAAGGGTCCAGACCTGTCCAGCAGGGTGGGTTCCCATGGGTGCAGTGACCCTCAGGCCATCTCCCAGCATGAAGCTGTGGCAAAGTTCACATCCTAGTGCAGAACAGAGTGAGGGCATCGCTTTTTTACAGTCATAAACACATTTCTATGTGCCCTTTCCCTGTTGAAATACTCCAAAGAGACCCAGGTCACCTCTCTCTTCCAGCGCCATCTCACTCCGGGTTGAGTCTCTCCAGGTGATGGTGTTTTGCCTCTGCCTCAGTGTCAGAGGACAAAAAGTGACACACTTTTGTGATGAAATAACAAAGACTGACACAAGTCTTTAGGTCCACAGGGTCATTTTCCTGTGGCCTCACCCTTAGGGATTTGTTACTTAAGAAAAAATATTAAAGAGATAAAGTTATTAAAAGGTGTTAAAATAATTTTTATAATTATGAATTTGATAATTCCTGTACACTTTCCTAGTGTTTTCCTTTTCCCAGGTTTCAGTAGCATATCTGTACAGACAATCAGCAGAGAAAGGCAGCACATGAGGTCTCCCAGCTGTGGATGAATCCCCAGTCATGATGGGTTCCCATGCTGGGCTCCAGCTCTTCTGCCAGGGTGCTGTGGGTTCAGCTCTGAACCACTGCATTCTTATCCTCCTGCTCCCTGGAATCCCACTCTGCTCCCTGGAATCCTACTCAGCTGCTTTTTGGCTGCAGTCAGGGTACCTGATTGTAGGAGAGGAAGGATAAACAATGCTGAAATGTTTCTCACCCTTCTGCTTTCCAGGCACTGGCTTTAGCAATCAAAGAGGCAAAACTCCAGCATCCTGACATGCTGGTAACCAAAGCTGTGGTGTACAGAGAAACAGAGCCCTCTCCAGAGGAAAGGGACAAGAAACCTCAGGTAGGTGGAGAAGCTGCCAGGTGTGATTTCCACCTGCTGGCTGATGGGGGTGTAACAGGTCACAGTCTCTGGTCCCCACCAGCCACAGGTGGCTCTGGGCATGGCCACCTGGCTGTGGTTAGGAAGCCACTACTGTGCTACCAAAAGTAATGCTGTGGATGCCACCCTGCTGTCCTGCTCAGCACAGGGCTCAGAGGCATTTGATGTAAAAAGGAAAGAACCTGCTCATCCCCCTGGGATGGGGAGGGAATGAAGGGACATCAGGTTTGTGGCTAGGCTGAGGCACTTGGCTACAGGGTCTGCAGAGCCAAAGTATCAGACCAATGCTGGCAAAAATTATAATTTCCTTACAAAAACTGTACAGTTTTTCAGTCCCACTCAGATCCCCAGGTAGAGTTTTTATACACACACAGGTGTAGGCAGCAGCACACAAGGTTTGCACCTCCCTGCAGACACCCCAAAGCTGTCACAGTCCCAGACACTTCTCTAGGGCTTGGGGAGTCCTGTCCCACCCTAAATGTCCTATTTGACCCCATTCCTCCCTGTGAGCCAGGAGCTGCATCTCTCTGGGCTGGCACAGCCACCAGAACCCTGTGTGGGAGCAGTGGGGACAGAGGTGGAGAGGAGAGGGAACAGTTCTGGGGGCTCTGGCAGCAGCCAAGCTGCAGCTGCATTTGGAGAGGCTCCTTGGAATTGGAATTTTCCACTTCTTTATCATATGAAGGTTTTGATTGGCAGCTTTTAAGCCTGGAAAAGTGACCAGCAATGCAGCTGGGAAGGTCAGGAGAGGCTCATGGAGCTGCCTTGTCCCATCCCACAGTACAGACAAGTCCAGACATTCCTGCATCCCACAGGATCCACCCAGTTTTAGCTGAATGGCTTAAAGTGAGGGAGCAGCAACTCCCCCTCATGTCCTTCATGCACCAACAGCAGCCCAGAGCCTAAATTCCTGCTAATTACCTGCTCATGCTAATTAAATGCAAACTGTGGCCCCACGTGCTTGCCAAGTTTCGCTCCTGTGCCCTCATGCCAAGAGGAGCCTCCATGGATTGGCACTCCATGACTTGGTCCTTTCCATCTGCCTTGCACAGGAATCTTGACCAACATGTTCCTGGAAGTCAACATCTATATTCCAACCTGGAGAACAGGGGAGAAGGAGCCTTCATGCTGGATTTCTCAGCAAGACATAGACATCCTGGCTGCAATGTTCATGGCAAGAGACAAAAATTTTTAAAAAAGGAATAGCAAATATATTATATATATATATACATACATACATATATATATATATATATAAAAACAGGAAACAAAATGCATCCTTGCACTGCTGCTATATGCTGGAATCGAATAGCAAACAACACCACCAATAAACAAAGCCAACCCTCTGCAGATAAATTGAAGATTTCCTGGATTGGTGATCAAATCAGATTTAAAAAGTCATAATAATAACAATAATCTCGGTAACAATACAATAAGCCACCATCTTGCATGTTACATGAAAGGACACACAATCATGAGTTCATTTGTTGCACACTGAATGGAAAGAAAAATTGCTTTGCAACAAAGCAAGTAAGCAAACTGAAGTAATATACCACAAGCAGAAGCAAAACCATTCCCCACCTCTGGAAAGAAGAGAGAAAAACATTCAAGTTATGACCATAGAGTTATTTTCCAATTCACAAGTGTCGTTTTGCCCTTCTCCTCATTCCATGCTGGTTTTTTGCATTTTTTGGGGGTTCTGTTGACTCTTCCCCTTCCCTTCCTTATCTTCTCTGTGCACTTGTCCAACCTCTTGTTCTCTGAAGGTATTTAGGAATGGGTTTCATTTCAAACAAAGCAAATGATATGTACATGGTTTCTCATCTCTAATGAGCAGCCTGTGGGGTTTCATATGGATGTGCATTTCAGTTCTGTATATTATTCTATATAACGGAGGGGGAGGGAGGGAACAATGCTGAAATAATTCAACAGTGCTGGTACAGATGATGCCAGCATTTTAAGATCATTAACTCTTGGATTGACTGTGGTTGGTTACTTGGAGACTCTTAGATCACACATGGGACTTTGAGTCCTGCAAGAAGGGAACGGGAAGGGTTTTGGCTGCTGCTGGTTGGGGGGGCAGGGGAGAGGGCGAGGGATGGGAATGTCCTGCCAGCTGATCTGCAGTGTGTGGTGGTGAGCTTTGGAGGGGCAGGGAAGGCTCCAGCTCCACCAGCCGTAGGCAGGATGGGCTCCCAGCCCCCTGAGCCACGGGATCAGCGGGGAGCGAGGTGGGGCCGCAGGGCTCGGGGTCCCCTGCAGCCTGCAGAGCCGTGCCGCTGGGTGGGGTGGGTTTGCTTTGTTTCTGGATCCCAGTAATGGAGGTACTTGAGTTTTGTACTAGGGTCAAAGGCGGAGGGGCTGTTTGTGCCCTGCCTCCCCCACTACCAGGGGTGTGATGGCAAAGAGCTGGGGACAGCGCTGGCAGGGCCATGGCAGTGCTCCCCTGACGTGCCATGGGATGGGCAGCGGAGGGCCCGTGCTGTGGCCATCCCTGCAGAGTGTCCCCAGCATCCCAGGCTGGGTGGGAGAGACCAGGGGGCGTCAGTGGAGCTGCTCCCAGCTCGGCCTTCAGCCGCAGGCTCCTCCAGGGCTGCCTTTGGAAGGGGATCGTGGGCCAAGCCCAGGGCCCCGTACACTGTGAACCAGGCAGTTCGGGTAGGCTCGGAACCAAAACCAGAAAGGAAAGAAATGGGTTTCCTTCTTGGAATTGTCTTTAGCTCCTGCAGAAACTGAAGGGCCCATGATTCTGCACCATTTTGCCTTTAGTCTCCCACCCCTCACACAGACTGTGCCCAGGACCAGGTGTGTTCTGCCAGGCCTTGCCAGGGCTCGCAGGATGCCCGAGCAGGAGCGCCTGCGCCACGAGGATGCCGTGGGCAGATCCTGCTCCCACCTTCACTGTCCCAGGAGGGAGCTGCTCCCTGGCAGCTGCTCACCAGCTGCTCACCAGGGTCTGTTCTCCTGGCAGAGAGGTTTCTGTTGCAGGTGTGGAAGGCAAGAGCACAGGGGCTGCTGCCGGTGCCAGTGCCCATCCCCAGCTTCCAGCCATGCGCCTTCAGAGAGCACAGCCCCAGCCTAAGAGCAGTTCAGGCAGTCAGTAAGAGGCTCCTTTTCTCTCGTTTGTTTTCACAATGCACCCAAGCCAGCTGTGCCCAGCAGTGGCACTGCCAGGGGTGGTGAGGTCCAGGGTGTGCCTGCCGTGCTGGCGTTCACCAGCACATGGCACAGTTCAGGGTTGGGGGAGCCCACCTGGCTTGGGCACCTCCACAGCCCACCCGAGGCCACTGTGACCCTCCAGAGTTGCTTTTGGCGTTGTACACAGTCTGGGAAGCGAAGGTTCCCGTGGGATTGAGCAGCCTTCCAGAGTTGGGCTCCCTGTGTGCTTGGGCTGTGTGAGTTCCACTGGCAGTGAGCAGCCCCTGGCTCCTGCAGTGTGTCCATGGGTGGCAGCATCGGAAACATTTTTTTTTCTTAAAAAAATAAAAAAAGGAAAAAAAATAAAAGGAAAGAAAAATGCTCACTGCTTGTTCTCCTGGTGAGGTGTGGCTTTCTGCTGCTCAGCCCCAGCCTGCCCATCACAGTGCTCTGTTTCAGATAGCTGGCCACTGCTTGTTTTCTTCCAGGGGCCTTTTCTGTGGAAAGGGGTGGGAGACATGAGTGCCTGTTTTTACCCAATCCCACAAATTCATTCTGAACCTGGCCTGCAATTGCATGAATAATAATAACAGTAACAATAATAATAATATTAATTATAATAATAGTATTTATTTTTATTTGAGAAGCACCTTACCAACCAACTGCAACGCTCTGTTGTTCCTTTACTAACTCTCCTTTTCTCTTCCCTTGTTCTCCCTCTCCCCCTTTGGTCATACTCCTTTTCAGTGCTCGGTGGTGTATGCGTGTGTGCTCACTGTTCTTGTATTCAATAAAAGTGAAATAAATGTGTTTGATGCTAAATCAGCCTGGGACCTCGGTGGACTCTTTCCTACTGAGAGGATGGAGAAGTGAAGGGGGAACCGTGCAACCAGAGGCACAGCACGTGGAAATACCGGGCCTTGTCTAAAGGAAAGCTTGTAGAAATCATGGAATCCCAGAATGGTTTGGGCTGGAAGAGAATATAAAGCTCCTCCTTTTCCATTCCCTGCCACAGAAAGGGACACTTTGACTATCCCAGGTTGCTCCAAGCTCCATCCAACCTGACCTTGGACATTTCCAGGGATCATGGGGCAGCCACAGCTGCTCTGGGCACCCTGTGCCAGGACCTCCTGACCCTCACGGGGAACAATTCCCTTCCAGTATCCCATCCATCCCTGCCCTCTGGCAGTGGGAAGCCATTTCCCCTTGTCCTGCCATTCCAGGCCCTTGTCCAAAGTCCCTCTCCAGCTCTCCTGGAACCTCTTTAGGCCCTGGAAGGGGCTCTGAGGTCTCCCTGAAGCCTTCTCCAGGTAAAGACCCCCAGCTCTCCCAGCCTGGCTCCAGAGCAGAGGGGCTCCAGCTCTCCACGTCCACCTCTGGGCTCGTTGGAACGTCTCTGCATCTCTGCAGTGCTGCAGACCCCAGAGCTGGAAGCAGTTCTGCAGGTGGGATCTCACCCCACCCAGGGCAGATGAAGATGTTGCCAGGTCGGGAATTGCGGCTGGTGGAGCTGGGAGCGTACGGCAGGTGCTGAGCCTCGGACACACCTCGGACACTCGTGGGGCAGCCAGGGTGGTTGTGAGAATGCTCAGGGTGCAGGGCCGGGGTGGGAACTGCCCCTCTCTAGGGACCCCGGCCCTGTGTGTTGTCCTGGGGAACAGGACGTGGTGCCGGGACAGTGTCTGTCCTGCGCAGGGCTGTGTGTGTCACACTGAGGGTCTGGCCCGGGGGGTCTCTGTCCATCAGTGCCAGGCACGGCTCTTGTCCGTCTGTCCCGCTGTGGGCTGGGACCACGGGAGCCCAGGGGAACGGCAGCCAGCCGGGGGGGCTGGGGACCGGCTTTGGGGACAGCGGGGAGCAGCGGCCAGCCATGGAGAGGCAAAGGGGAGCAGCGCCGGGCTGGGAGCCGGCCATGGGCTGGGGCAGCGGGACCGAGCCGGGGCCGGCCGGAGGGCACAGGGACCGAGTCGGGGGCGATCGGGGGCAGTGCCCGCTGTCCACGGGGCAGCAGCGCAGCCCGGGGAGCCCCTGGAGCCGGGCGGGGCCGGAGGCTCCTCCCGCAGCCGGGCCGGAACCGCCGGGCCCGGATATCCGGCCAGGGCCGCCCGGCGCCGCTCCCCGCCGGGCCCGTGCGGAGCGGCCCGGCCATGGCGGCCCCGCGGCCCGACCCCGAGCTGGCCCGGCAGCTTTTCTTCGAGGGAGCGGCCGTGGTGGTGCTGGACGTGCCCGAGGGCACCGAGTTCGGCATCGACTACAGCGCGTGGGCCGTGGGGCCGCGGTTCCGCGGGGTGAAGATGGTGCCGCCGGGGCTGCACTTCGTGCACTGCAGCGCTGCCGGTGCCGGGCGGGACTCGGGGCCGCGCTCCGGCCGCTTCCTCAGCCTGCGGCTCCGCGAGGTGCGGCTGCTGCGCTGGGACCCCGCGGCCGAGGCCGTGCGGCCCGAGCCCCCCGAGCAGGGCGAGGCGCTGCGGGACAGCCTGCGGGAGCTGGACCCCTTCCTGGGGCCCTACCCCTACGAGACGCTGAAGAAGTGGGTGTCGCTGAGCAACTTCATCAGCGAGGCGGCGGCCGAGGAGCTGCAGCCCGAGAGCGGCCAGATCTGCGCCTTCGCCGAGGTGCTGCCCGAGGCGGCGGGGCGGCACACGCGGGACCGAGCCGGGCAGCGCCGGCCCCCGCTGGGCTCCGAGTGCCGCAGCTACGCCGAGGGCCTGGCCCGGCTGCCCCGCATGCGGCCGCGGGCCGGCACCCAGATCCGCTTCTCCGAGCTGCCCCGGCAGGCCTTCCCCGACGGGGCCACCCCCGAGGAGATCACCCGGCACAGCATGGACCTGAGCTACGCCCTGCAGCGGGTGATGGAGCAGCGCTACCCCGGCCGGCCGCTGGGTCTGCTCGGTGAGCTCCGCCCGGGGAAATGCCATTGCTGGGCAAACATTCGGCTCCAGGGTGGAACCTGTCCCTGTTCCCTGCCCCACGAGGGCTCTGCAGCGCAACACAGAAGTTTGTGGAGTTTTTAGCAGCCTTAGGGGCTGTTCCCATAGCCTGGAGGAGACTGAGGCCAGAGCTTCTCCCGAGGGGCGGCTGCGATCTCTGTTCTGTGTGACCAGGGAGAGCACCCGAGGCTGGAACTGTCAGGGGAAATTTAGGCTGGATGTCAGGGAAAGGTCCTTCCCCCAGAGGGTTCTGGGCACTGCTCAGGCTCCCCAGGGAATGGGCACGGCCCCGAGGCTGCCAGAGCTCCCATCTCAGGGGTGCCCAGGGTGGGACTGTTGGGGTGTCTGTGCAGGGCAATGTGGGTCCCTCCCCACTCAGGATATTCTGTAATTCTGTTCCACGACTGTCTCGTGTGAGGACATGGTGCTGCAGCCCAGATTAAGTCAAAAGCAGCAGTCACAGGTGGCTCTGGTGTCTGGCACTTTACCTGTTCAGTGAACCTCTTACAGAGTGCTGGGAGCATCAGGTGGGGATGGGCACCCCCAGCCCCGTGTTCCTGTTTGGTTTTGGTTCCTGCTGCAGTGACTGGTCCCTCCCAGAGCTCAACCTCTCCCCAGCCTACATTGCAACCTGTGCTACAAATAAATGCTGGGTCTGTGGAGGTCCTGGAGCAGGGTTTTGTTTAGTTGCAGGATGGAGGGAGAAGCCCTCCCAGCTTCCCAGCTGGAACCCTGGTTTGGAATAAGCCTTTGTTTATCCCTTCATCCATTTTTTGTC